TTTCATTAAGTAAACCCAAGTACATCATTGGGAATACTCATCAATAGAAGTGATGATAATGAAACTCAAAGGATGTGACTCAACTTGAATCCCAAATATCAGAATGAATTATAGAAAAGATATAGTTGCATCTTTTCCAGTTCTTTTCAAAAAATAAGACCAAACATGTTTTCCTAATTGACATGACTCATAATCTAAGGCTTGAAGTTTGCTAAGTTCAAGAATCACCCTTTTTAATTTTGATAAATGTGGATGGCCTAAACAATCATACAAAAAGTTTAGGAGATGGGGATGCTAAACAAAACATTGACGGTCTAGTACCAAGATAGAAGAGTCCTTTAGATTCATATCCTTCCCCAATCAATCAACCTACACCATGCTCTTGTATAACAAAAGAAATGACATAAAAGGTTATGGAACAATTTAAAGATTTGGTTAATTGGCTTAAAAAATTAGGCTAAAAGAACAATTAGGGACAATAAAAACATGCTTTAAATTTAAGGAGGGAGAAAGGGTGATTTCACCAACTCCCTAAGATGCAACTTTGGGTTCATTGGCCAAGGTAATAATGTAAAGAATTTCAGAATGAGAAATAAAAGAAAATAATGAAGCGTTACCAAAAATGTGATTAGAAGCACTTGAATCGGTAATCCATGAACTTTGACACTCCCAAGGTTTGTGAAATACAAGCTTTTGACAAAATACAATGGGTAAAAAGACTATGTTTGGCTACTAGACTTTAACATGAAATATTCTTGATACTCTCATTAGATAACTTTGACTTAGAAACTTTAGATTTGGAAACATGGGTGCCTTGTAAGGAAAGTCATGTAAAGAGTAACAATTCTCTTGGGTCAGACTCATTCTTTTACATGTACATTGAGGATGCCCTCTACCACGCGGACGCCTTGCTATAGCACCTCAAATTCCCTTTTCAAGGGTAGAAATTATGTTAGAGGAGATAGTCCCCGAAAAGATGTTGAACAAGGTTGAGGCTGGGAGACCAAGTAGAGAAAACAAAAGGCAACCTAGAGTTTCAAGAGAGAGAAATCTATGGTTTTAGGTGAGAGAAACTATGATCAACTCTAGGACTTCACCAAATGGTACTGGAATGAAGAGAAAGGGAAGAAATTGGCTGAGTGCTTCAACAAGTCAATCCGTGGTGGTCTAGAAAGATTCTGACCATTGGAAGTTGGGGCATGAGACACGCATCTAGGGCAGTTGCAATGGTCATGGTGCATGGCGGTGTGTCAGCCAGAATTCGGATGTGCGACCACCAGGGTTGGTTCACACTCCTCAAGGCTCACTAGACCCAACTGCTGGAGGATGAAACTCTAGTGGCAGAATGCAGCACACCGCTGTTGACAATTCAAATAGTGACCAGATGAAAATGTATTTGTTGGACAGAGACAACAGAGCAAGATCAACTTGCTTTGGTACCAATTTGAGAAAAATATAAAAGAATACATAATGAATTTGAGAGAGCTTGATATGTTCTCAAATTTATATTAGAGTTTTGATACAACGAGTACATGGAAGAACGGAAATCAAACTAGAGTCTAGATACAAAGATAGGTACAACTCATATATTAGTTTTCCAATACATCTATTTCCTACGTATATTTAATACCTATTCTAACACAACTAATACCACAGTACAACACATTAAACAGGTGCTCAAAATTAGCAATTTATTCTGACAGTATAAAAACCATGTACCATGTCTTGGGATCATGAACATGGTAACTAACAAAGCAAAGAAAACTACATATTTTCATGTCTTCAGATTTGTGACATATATTGGCTGTAGTGCAACGGATTTTGATTATAGACATCTTTAGAATGTACTGTTTTTTTTTATTAACTATAAACTTTATGAAGTACAGTGACATTAGAATTCATCTGATGTAATTTGAAGAGCTTTTCTTGGGGCTTTTTTTTATGATTTTATGTCATGCAAGATTGCCGATAAAATGTTCCTGGCAGAACCTGTACATCATTTTTTCTAGGCTAGGACATTGCTTATTGTTTTCTTATTTCCCTAGTTCTATCGACTTTTCTAATGAAACATCTGGAATTGCATTATGTAGGGAGGTGCTGAAAGGGAACAAGGTTTACTTCAGATACTGACTGAGATGGATGGATTCAAAGTTTCCACAGCACAAGTAAGTTTTTAATTGGTTGCTGGGATCATATAGATGTTATATGATATACTGAACTGGAATTTCAGGTGCTGGTGATAGGAGCCACAAATAGGTTGGATATTCTTGATCCTGCTCTATTGAGGAAGGGTCGTTTTGACAAGATCATCAGAGTAGGTTTGCCATCAGAGGATGGAAGATATGCTATTTTGAAGGTATTTCACCACTGCAACTGTTATTTGCTCTGATCTTGTTTTCCTCTACTATCTCACCATCTTTAATTTCTTTTGATCTCATTTCTTTATAATGCACACTAGGTGCATGCTAGGAATAAATTTTTTCGTTCAGAGGAGGAAAAACATACATTACTGAAGGAAATTTCTGAGCTGACTGAAGATTTTACCGGGGCAGAGCTACAAAATATACTGTAAATAATCTTTTGGGATGTTGCTGCACCTGTCTATCATGAGAATATCGGCTAATATTATCTTGAACTAATTAACAGGAATGAAGCTGGAATTTTGACAGCTAGGAAGGATTTGGATTACATTGGACGAGATGAGCTGCTTGAGGCATTAAAAAGGGTTGGTGTTTCTTAGCTTCGTTCTGGCTGGGCAATAATATTATTTATGACATTTTGAATCATCTTCGGTGCAAGTTTACAATGTGATAAATCTTATGGATTTGCAGCAAAAAGGAACATTTGAAACTGGGCAAGAGGATAGTACTGATATTCCTGAAGAATTAAAACTCAGATTGGCATACAGAGAAGCAGCTGTTGCTGTTCTTGCATGTTATTTTCCTGAGCCCCATCGTCCTTTTTTAGAGGTCATTTCGGTTTTATAGAAAGTTCCACGTGTTTGTGCATACATTATTATTTCAACTGTGTTATTGGGTGTTTATCTTTTGCAGACTGATATAAGTTCTATCCGTAGCCAGCCAAATATGCGTTATACTGAAATTTCTGGTCAGGTTTTTGCAAGGAAATCAGATTACATAAACTCTATAGTTCGTGCTTGTGCTCGTAAGTTGTTTTTAGTTTCAGGACATTTTGGAAAGTCTTATTTGCAATCTGATAGTATTTTCATTTATTTGACTTTCATCATTTAGATATTGTTGTTTAAAACATTACATATTCTGTTTCTTGAATCTTGAATAATAATTATACTACATTAAATGAAAATTAGTGGTATGGGGGCGGTGCTGTTATACTCTTTTACTGTTATTCAAAAGATTTTTTTGGTTAGTAATGCCTTTTGCTTTTTTATTGTGGCACCCAATTTATATAAAAAGTTTTATCTCATGAATAAATGATTGGTTTTGATGAATTTATAGCGGTGAGTTCAACATGTTAACCTCAAGTGTACAATAAATTATTTTGCTCGTGAAAACCAACAGAGGCAAGGTTCTTAATGTAAACTTAAATTTGTATTTCGTATACTCTTTAACAGAAGAATACAAAGAACTTCCTGTAGTTAGCCACAAGATGATTATCTAAGATTGGTTCTTAATGTAAACTTAAATTTGTATTTCGTATACTCTTTAACAGAAGAATACAAAGAACTTCCTGTAGTTAGCCACAAGATGATTATCTAAGATTGGTACTTTGGTTATTGAGTTCTTTTGCATATTAAAATTTGTTTGTAGCAAGAGTAATTGAGGAGGAGATGTTTGGGATTGACAACATGTGTTGGATCTCTGCAAAGGCAACATTAGAAGCTTCAAGGCGTGCAGAGTTTTTGATTCTGCAGACAGGAATGACTGCTTTTGGGAAAGCATATTACAAAAACTATAGTGATCTTGTGCCCAATGTATGTTAATGGGAACTAACGGCTTGTGCTTTAATACACATTTTTTCCCTTAACAGAAATGTTTGAGAAGTATAGTTGTATCACAACTCATATTGAACATTTTATACAGCTTGCAATGAAGCTTGAAGCACTTAGGGATGAGTATATGCGTTATGCTACTGAGAAGTGCTCATCGGTGCTAAAAGAATACCATTTGGCAGTTGAGACAATCACAGGTCTGGTTCTCTCGTGAGTTTTTTTTTTGTTAACCAATGAGCCATCTCTTACTGGTATTTATTTAGTTCATGATAATCGAGACCTACTTTTAGAAATTAACTTTTGCTGTATTGCATTACTTGGCAATTATTGATACTTTCACATGAAGAGGTGCACGGGAAAAAATGCTACATGTTTACTTGTTTTGCAGATATTTTGCTTGAAAAGGGTAAAATCGAAGCTGAGGAGATTTGGGACATCTATAAGAGTGCTCCTCGTGTAGCTCAGGTTAGATCATGAACTAAAGTGGAGCAGCACGTTGTCATGTTTTTTCATTTACCGGCCATTAAAATTGTTATACTTGTGCTTGTGTGTGGGATTGAGATTTCCTATTGATACAATTTGTGGTATTTAATGCATGATTTGGAGGTATTCTCACATTTCATCAAGTGATTTGGCAGATATTTATTACTTGTGTCATTTATTGAATTTTTTACGCACTAAAAAGTTTTTGTTAGGCAGGCCCTATCCCCAATCTTTCTTTTTTTAATATCAATATTCTTGGTTGAATAAATGATAATCTTTTGAGATTGAATTTTTTTTCCGAGTTTTGTTTAGCCTCCTGTCAGACAAGTTGATGAATATGGAGCACTGATTTATGCTGGACGATGGGGAATCCATGGGATCAGTCTTCCTGGAAGGGTTACATTTGCACCTGGCAACGTTGGATTTTCGACCTTTGGGGCACCTCGTCCTTCAGAGGTACAATTCGAAGCCTTTTATATAAGGTTCCATAGTTTGTCATACAACTGATTTGTGCTCTTTCATTTTTCCTTCGTTTTACTGTAGACACAAAATGTTAGTGATGAAACTTGGAAACTAGTAGATGATATCTGGGATAAAAGGGTTCAAAACATTAAAGATGAAGCTACAAAAGTGATCGAAGAGGAGAAGGAAAAGCCACAACTTCTAATGGCTAGCCATTTTCTTTGAGAGCAACTTAAATTTGACATACAGGTTTGTTAGCATTTAGTTATATTCCAACTTCAATTATCTCTAGAGTTCATAATTTTCGTTTTGGTTTTGGTTGTGGGGAGTAAATGAATAAGGTGACAATTGGAGCATGATTTATTTAACATCAATTGTCATTTACAGATGCATCTATTTATTGGGAAAAGAACATAATCAATCATGTCCAGAAATAGCAACAACGGGTCAAACTAAGTACGCATGTTTTCTCTCATCTGATCTAATTTGCACTGTAAAACTTCGTGCTGCCCTTTTCTTTGAGAAGCTGCCCTTGCCCACAGTTCTTTTTCAATATGAATATCAACCTTGGATGCATATCATCAAAAGGAAGATTGATATATTTTTGACCAAGCTGAAGGGTACTTATAAATATTCAAATATCATCGAAACCTTTTTGCCACAGATGGAGCTCTAAGGGTTTTGGTGTGAGCTGTTACGTGAAAGGCTTTGCTACCCACATTGTAATTTCTCACGGGGATTATTGAGAGAATTGTAAATTTATTAAATTATCCCTCATGTTTCAATAGTTACTTTGTAATCGTTCTCTTTAGTGGTAAATTAAAGTGGTAAAATTGTTGCACCACTTTTCCTTTACATGAATTTTTGAATAACCTACCCTGCACTGCAGACGACAGTTTAGCTCATGTAGACATCCCACATTAGATATGATGTGAAAGTGAAGTGATGTATACCAAAAGTGGTGTGCCAATATTAGTACTCTATATTTTATTAATTGGTTAAACCTCTTTAGTTGTTCTTATTTATGTAGAGTTTTCCCAGTTCAATCTCCGTTCTTTTAAAATTTTCAATTGAGTCCTAAATAGTGCTAATTTGGATTAATTAGATCCCTACGGTTAAATTTGACTTAACGGGGTTAAGTTTTGCTGAGGTTAGAAGTTGACGTGGTAGATTTTTTAAACCCTGACATTCTCAGAGCTTACGTGTAATTTAAAAACATTTTAACATTTTTGATTAAAAAATTAAAAAAAAAGTCATCTTCCATCCATTTCAGTTAAGTCATATTCCATCCAGAACTTGAGAACCCAATCGCGCAAAACCACCATCATCTTCCTCGTGCACCATCGACCTGCAATCAAGTAACTACAAAATCAAAATAGTGACTCTGCCATGCTCACTTTAATTCATCTCCTTCCATCCAGCACCACGAAGGCACTTTAATTCATTTCCTTCCATCCAGCACCATGAAGGCAAATCGCCACCATAACCAATGTAACAGTGCTCAAGCTCTTCGCACCCAATCGAAATCATCATCATCTATTTTCTTCTCCATTAAACCATTTGAAACCTGTAAAGAGAAAACAGAATCACAAATCTGAAAATCCTCAAATTAGTCACCAACCCTAAATCACGCCAGACACAAATTGAACAAATTGAATTATTTGAAAACCAGTTTTCCGGTGAATTACCTTAAGGTTTAGGAAACCTCAGTAGTTTAATTCTCTTGGACCTCACTTAGAACACTCTCATAGGGGAACTACCACATGCAATAGCCTCTTTGCGTCTCTATTCTCTTAACCTAAATGACAACCTTCTCGGGGAAAATTCCTGAAATTTTAGCTTTAAATCTGCATCAGTTGAAACTCTTCAACAACAGCTTCACTGGGAAACTTCCACAATATCTGGGACAAAACTCAGACATACAAGATCGCTTCTCCCCCAACCCTCCGCCAGCCTCAATAACCGCTTTCTCCCTCGTTCTGACCACATCTCCACCGGCGCCGTTTTGATCTGCGACGATGACGTGGAGGTGGACTCAAAGTCGTTGGAATTCGCGTTCCGCCGGCATGGCTCGCGTGCGGGGGATCGTGGACGTGGTGTGGAACTTTGAAGATGTGTTGATGAACTTAGTGGTGGTAGAGGAGGCACAGGTGGGTCCATTGCTGGTGGGGCGAAGAGAGTGAGGGATTACGGGGACGCAAGGAATGAGGGGGAGGAAGGGTGAGGGTGGGGTTGAGTAGTAGGAAAGGGGAGCACAGGAAGAGAAGAGGGTGGTGCATTGGGGTTACTTGATTAAAATGTTTCTTGATTGCAGAGTCACTGTTTTGATTTTGTTTTCCAGGTTGATGGTGCACGAGGAAGATGATGGTGGTTCTGCACGTTTGGGTTGTTCTGGATGATGCTTGACTGAAATGGATGGAAAAGATGGAAGATGACTTTTTTTTTTTAATTTTTTAATCAAAATGTTAAAATGTTTTTAAATTACACGTAAAGCTCTCTAAATGCCAGGTTAAAAAAATCTGCTACGTCAACTTCCAACCTCAGCAAAACTTAATCCCGTTAAGTCAAATTTAACGGCAAGGACCTAATTGACCCAAATTAGCATTATTTAGGACTCAATTGGGAATTTTAAAAGAACGGGGATTGAACTGGGAAAACTCTAGATAAATAGGGACAACTAAAGAATTTTAACCTTTATTAATTTTGTAACCTTCGTATAAAATAATTCCTGACATTGATATTCATCTTACTCTTTTTTGAGTTGAGGATTGTGAAGATTGCCTTGGATACACATCCATGATTCTAGCAATACCTTGCAGCCCCTCCTCTTTAGCATTGTATTACTTACTCCATTCAGGAGAGTTAGTGCCATGCATTTCTGAATCCTAGATGTATTCACTGTTTGGATGGACTCTATAATTTATACTTGTAATAATAACAACAACAATTATAAAAGAACATTAAGGATGTGTTTGCAATACACTATTCAAGAGAAAAAGCGAGGAATTGTTTGTGAGATTGATTGATCTGNCGGTGTGTCAGCCAGAATTCGGATGTGCGACCACCAGGGTTGGTTCACACTCCTCAAGGCTCACTAGACCCAACTGCTGGAGGATGAAACTCTAGTGGCAGAATGCAGCACACCGCTGTTGACAATTCAAATAGTGACCAGATGAAAATGTATTTGTTGGACAGAGACAACAGAGCAAGATCAACTTGCTTTGGTACCAATTTGAGAAAAATATAAAAGAATACATAATGAATTTGAGAGAGCTTGATATGTTCTCAAATTTATATTAGAGTTTTGATACAACGAGTACATGGAAGAACGGAAATCAAACTAGAGTCTAGATACAAAGATAGGTACAACTCATATATTAGTTTTCCAATACATCTATTTCCTACGTATATTTAATACCTATTCTAACACAACTAATACCACAGTACAACACATTAAACAGGTGCTCAAAATTAGCAATTTATTCTGACAGTATAAAAACCATGTACCATGTCTTGGGATCATGAACATGGTAACTAACAAAGCAAAGAAAACTACATATTTTCATGTCTTCAGATTTGTGACATATATTGGCTGTAGTGCAACGGATTTTGATTATAGACATCTTTAGAATGTACTGTTTTTTTTTATTAACTATAAACTTTATGAAGTACAGTGACATTAGAATTCATCTGATGTAATTTGAAGAGCTTTTCTTGGGGCTTTTTTTATGATTTTATGTCATGCAAGAATGCCGATAAAATGTTCCTGGCAGAACCTGTACATCATTTTTTCTAGGCAAGGACATTGCTTATTGTTTTCTTATTTCCCTAGTTCTCTCGACTTTTCTAATGAAACATCTGGAATTGCATTATGTAGGGAGGTGCTGAAAGGGAACAAGGTTTACTTCAGATACTGACTGAGATGGATGGATTCAAAGTTTCCACAGCACAAGTAAGTTTTTAATTGGTTGCTGGGATCATATAGATGTTATATGATATACTGAACTGGAATTTCAGGTGCTGGTGATAGGAGCCACAAATAGGTTGGATATTCTTGATCCTGCTCTATTGAGGAAGGGTCGTTTTGACAAGATCATCAGAGTAGGTTTGCCATCAGAGGATGGAAGATATGCTATTTTGAAGGTATTTCACCACTGCAACTGTTATTTGCTCTGATCTTGTTTTCCTCTACTATCTCACCATCTTTAATTTCTTTTGATCTCATTTCTTTATAATGCACACTAGGTGCATGCTAGGAATAAATTTTTTCGTTCAGAGGAGGAAAAACATACATTACTGAAGGAAATTTCTGAGCTGACTGAAGATTTTACCGGGGCAGAGCTACAAAATATACTGTAAATAATCTTTTGGGATGTTGCTGCACCTGTCTATCATGAGAATATCGGCTAATATTATCTTGAACTAATTAACAGGAATGAAGCTGGAATTTTGACAGCTAGGAAGGATTTGGATTACATTGGACGAGATGAGCTGCTTGAGGCATTAAAAAGGGTTGGTGTTTCTTAGCTTCGTTCTGGCTGGGCAATAATATTATTTATGACATTTTGAATCATCTTCGGTGCAAGTTTACAATGTGATAAATCTTATGGATTTGCAGCAAAAAGGAACATTTGAAACTGGGCAAGAGGATAGTACTGATATTCCTGAAGAATTAAAACTCAGATTGGCATACAGAGAAGCAGCTGTTGCTGTTCTTGCATGTTATTTTCCTGAGCCCCATCGTCCTTTTTTAGAGGTCATTTCGGTTTTATAGAAAGTTCCACGTGTTTGTGCATACATTATTATTTCAACTGTGTTATTGGGTGTTTATCTTTTGCAGACTGATATAAGTTCTATCCGTAGCCAGCCAAATATGCGTTATACTGAAATTTCTGGTCAGGTTTTTGCAAGGAAATCAGATTACATAAACTCTATAGTTCGTGCTTGTGCTCGTAAGTTGTTTTTAGTTTCAGGACATTTTGGAAAGTCTTATTTGCAATCTGATAGTAATTTCATTTATTTGACTTTCATCATTTAGATATTGTTGTTTAAAACATTACATATTCTGTTTCTTGAATCTTGAATAATAATTATACTAAATTAAATGAAAATTAGTGGTAAGGGGGCGGTGCTGTTATACTCTTTTACTGTTATTCAAAAGATTTTTTTGGTTAGTAATGCCTTTTGCTTTTTTATTGTGGCACCCAATTTATATAAAAAGTTTTATCTCCTGAATAAATGATTGGTTTTGATGAATTTATAGCGGTGAGTTCAACATGTTAACCTCAAGTGTACAATAAATTATTTTGCTCGTGAAAACCAACAGAGGCAAGGTTCTTAATGTAAACTTAAATTTGTATTTCGTATACTCTTTAACAGAAGAATACAAAGAACTTCCTGTAGTTAGCCACAAGATGATTATCTAAGATTGGTTCTTAATGTAAACTTAAATTTGTATTTCGTATACTCTTTAACAGAAGAATACAAAGAACTTCCTGTAGTTAGCCACAAGATGATTATCTAAGATTGGTACTTTGGTTATTGAGTTCTTTTGCATATTAAAATTTGTTTGTAGCAAGAGTAATTGAGGAGGAGATGTTTGGGATTGACAACATGTGTTGGATCTCTGCAAAGGCAACATTAGAAGCTTCAAGGCGTGCAGAGTTTTTGATTCTGCAGACAGGAATGACTGCTTTTGGGAAAGCATATTACAAAAACTATAGTG